GATGCATCCACGAAAGCTTATGCTCTAATAAATTTGTTAGTTTCTAAGGTGCCACAAGTACTCCTATTCTTTTTGCGGATACAGACTAACACGGCTGCTACTCTGAAACCTGTCATTATTGTACTTAGATTCCTTCTATTCTGCCACTTCCATTTATTTACAACCAAATTTTCAAAAATAGCCACGGACTTGGCTGCTTCAAGGTTTTTGACTGCTCAGCTTGGTTCAATTTTCATAAGTACTGAACATCTGTAGCTCCCATTGACTTCAACTGAAACTGTGGGTGCTCAACACCACTCCCTCAAATCAGGCATCCAAAAAAACCAAGGCACCCCAAGTCAGTGGCCGTTTTTAAAAAAAGTTTGGCCATCTTGTTTACTTCAAGTAGGAAGACTGGAAACAGACCTTCAAAATTAAATCGGAGAATTGCAATCTCCCTCTGCCCCCAAAAGGTTGATGTGCATAGTCTGTCTATCACTTCCGTGCAAATTAGGCTAGCTGGTTAAGAATGGCAAGAAACTAGATGGATACATTGAAGATAGTGATATGAGTCCTTTTCTTTGTGAAGTTGTTGAAACTAATACTGAAAACATCCATACTGACTCCCAGCACATATGGATAAAAATTCTAATAGGGTTCAGAGAGCAATAGCTTGGGACACTTCAGCATTTAATCAATGTCTTAGAGTTTCTACAGCCTCTCAGGACAACGTTAAGATTTTCTATTCATCTTATCTTCTAGTTATTATGGTTGTTAAAGACTTGCTACAGCACATACTTTTTAATAATCACACATTCTTTACCTGACAGCGAACCTGGTAAAAACAAAAAAGTTGCCTTAATTTCCCATTTAATGGCGCAGGTGTATTTGAATGCCATCCTTAATCTTTGTTTTAATTATCAGGGCCTTTTTAACCTTGCATTTTTTATATTTTCCTCATGAGCCTGGAGCAGTTTTAAAAAACGGCAGAAGAATTACTTCCAAAGTAAGCCACTTGAGACAATTCTGAAGTACTTCTGCAAATTAGAAACTGCTCTATGCAACCCAAGTACTGAACCATGGTTACTTCAAAGCCTTTGAAGAGCTTCAGGTGAGAAGGGAATGGAATCTGCACACGTGAAGTATGCAGTCTTTTGAAATTCTGGGAACACTTCACATTTTAAGAGCAGTCCAAATAATTTTAAATTGTACTGACCTCCATTAATTATTGAATTAAAGCTGTCAAACTAAATTGTATAAAGTTCTACAGTTTCAAGGAAACTCAGTGCTGTGTATATTCAAATATGTACAGTATTTAAAAATGATTGTTTTTTCAGACCACAAATATCATAGGCACATCTACAATGTAACCATAAGGTACAGTACTGGATTTTCAGGGACAAAATCATTGTAATTCTATACTTTTCACTATAAAGAATAAACTAACATGAAATGAAAACTTAAAATGCATAACTGATGTCTTCAGTATCACTGCTGTAGATATTTTACAGAAATGATTTGCTTTACCTGTAGTTGAGAAAGATTTAAAATGAAATTACATTCATCATATAGAAATTTTTAAATGGAAAAAAACATATAGCGCATATGAAACAAAATCTGCTATTAATTTAATTTACAATAATGTGCAGGTAAGGGTAACCCACTGTGGATAACATGAGTGAATTAGGAAGAAGTGATAATATTAATGTTTAAGATTGCCACTCAGAACTCTGCTGAATCAAATATTATTTTGAAGTGTATGGAGGGGAAAGAGAATGAATATTTAAGATCCAAAATATTTACACTCACTGTCAGAAAATACCTTATATGCCTATTATAGAGTCAAATTCTTCTGCTTCAAAATGAAATCCCAACATTTATCATCACAAGGAACTATGACATTCATTGATCGAAAAAGTACCAGCTTGCAGAAAATATCCTTAGGAATCTGACATTGAGTATTCAAACCACCAAGTTAAAAATGAGCCAGAAAATTCAACCCACTACATCCTACTAGGTGACTTCAAGCTTTTTGTAAAGATCAGTTTAGATTCTGAGCAGCATAAAGGAAAGGACTCACCATCCATACTACATCCACTCCCCATTTTAGGTTCTGTATATGATAGACGGTGAAGTTTCCTACCAAGAACTGTGTTTAAGCAGTTTGCTAGAAAGATATTAATATAGATGTCCTGGCCAGTGTAGACATGTCCTATGTCTTCGCATGATATCTGTTACATCATAAAGAAATACAACTGAAATAGCTATGAGTGGACATATATTGGGTATTTATAAAATAAAAATTATTATAACTGAAAACTTGTACTCAAACCTGATAATATCCTGCTCCTTTGTCTAACTGAAACTCTTTCTAGAGAACTAGTTCATTTTTTAATATCCAGTAAATGAGCCAAGACTGCATATTGCACAACTGAAATATCTTGCAACATTCTTCCCCTTTCACTTTAATCATGCTAACTTATGGCTGAATCCCATGATTCAGCTATCTCTTAAACTAAAGGAATGAACCAAGTACTAAACAGTATAAAAATGTGTTACAGCTACTAGGCAAAAATCACCATATCATTTTGAAGAGCACAGAATGCTGAATCAGCCTTCTATCAAAATCAGTTGAGTTCAGAACTATTAAAAAATTGTATGCCAAATTTTGCTGCATATCCTGTTCCACAAATGCAATTCTATGCTGCTCTGAAATGATAGGGCATATTTTCATCTCTTCATCCACTCATTCAGGAACTATGGCTGTACAAATGCTAGCAGACCTGGGGCCAAATTTGTCTAATGGTGTATGTGACAAAGGTCTTAGAGGTGACCTGCAAAGGATTTCAAATAAATTAAGCTTGTGTCCTTCCCCCCACCCCCACTTCTTACTGATGAATAAAGAGGGTCTGAAGTGTTTTTAATTTAATTTATTTTCCTGATTATTTATTTATTTAAAATCTTAGCCATATCAAGATTATAAAGTCTGGTCTTCCCTAGTTTTATTGGAAGATCTCCTAGGAGACGGAAGGATATTTAATGTGAGACCTTAACACCTTTATTGAAGGGTAAAGGTGTTGAATCTATAACCTAGGCCTAATCTCCATACAGTTCTTGTACTGATATAACTGTGTCAGTTAGGAGTGTGATTTCTTTTTTAAACCAAAAGGTATACCAGCACAATGCCTATTGTGGATACAGTAACACCAGTTTAAAGGTGCTTTAAGTTTAAATTGGTATATCTTATTTCCCTTCCTATGGTAGGGGAGAGCTATACTAGAATAAACACCTTTATATAAGTAATACTGTGTCCAAACTAGGGGGGTTGTACTGCTTTAGCTATACTGGTATAGTTTACCCCTGGGGGAATTCTGCACCACTGCGCAATGCAGAATTTTGCAGAAACTAACATGCGCACAAAATTTCCTTTCCCCCACAGAAATGGGCTGCAGTGCTGCTGGCCGCCACTAGGGGCAACTGGACTTGGCAGAGCCCAGCTTGCACATAGAAAACCTTGCCGGGGGAGGGAGAGGGAGCTAGAGCACTGGTGGGCAATCTGCAGGCCACACATGGCTCGTCAGGGTAATCCGCTGGCGGGCCGCCAGACCATTTGCTTACATTTGCACTGCCACCCGCAGCTCCCAGTGGCCGCAGGTTGCCTGCCACTGAGCTAGAGGATTCCTGGCAGCTGCAGTTCCCAGCATGCCTGGAGGGAAGGAGAGGGTGGCACGCAGGAAACTCCATGCAAGACTGGGACCGAGCATCAGGCTGTTTCTCCCTCTGGATCCCTGGGCTCTGGTGGGGAAGAGGGTGTGTGTATCTGGGTTGGGGGGCCCCGTGGTTGGGCTCTGGGGAGGAGGGGTTGTGGATGTCTGCCCCCCAGCTTGGGGGTAGGGGTAGAGGGCAGAGAAACAGGAACGGGGTTGTATAGGAGTTTCTTTAACTCTCTACTGGTGGAATTTGTGTGTGTGTCTGTATTGTTACAGACATACTTGCTGACAGATATTTTGAAATAAATTACCAAATTAATTGAAACTTTCATGATTATGTAGTGTTATTTTGACAACTAAAATTTGTAGAATTTTTAACTTTTTGGTACAGAATTTTTAATTTTTTGGTGCAGAATGGCCCCGAGAGTATATAGTTACAGCAGTACAATTTTTGTGTTTACAAGGCCAAAGGCGTCCTGTAATCAGAATGTCAGTCACTGAAGTTAAATAGGTGTAACTAAAAACACAATGTTGTTTTAAATGGAATAAATCTCTCTTCCCCTCTTAATTAGTATTATGTATTATTTGAATTGCAGTAGCCTCTAGAGTAGGGGTTGGCAACCTCTGGCATGCGGCTTGCCAGGGAAGGGGAATAATTAAGCCACGCGGCTCGCCAGGGTAAGCACCCTGGCGGGCCGGGCCAGTTTATTTACCTGCCGCGTCCACAAGTTCAGCCGATCGCGGCTCCCACTGACCGCAGTTCGCCGCTCCAGGCCAATGGGGGCTGCGGGAAGCGGCGCGGGCTGAGGGATGTGCTGGCCGTGGCTTCCCGCTGCCCCCATTGGCCTGGAGCGGCAAGCCGCAGCCAGCGGGAGCCACGATCGGCCGAACCTGTGGATGCGGCAGGTAAACAAACCAGCCCGCCAGGATGCTTACCCTGGCCAGCCATGTGCCAGAGGTTGCCGACCCCTGCTTTAGAGGCTCCGATCAGGGCCCCAATTGTGCTATAAAAGGTACATACATACGTGTAATTTAAAATGCCTGAGTCTCTGTCCCAAAGAGCTTACACTCTTACAGCCTAATCCTACAAACATTTAAGCACAGAAGCAATTAAAGATAAGCATATAAATATTTACAGGAGTAGGTCCCATATGTTAAGACAATAAATGGAGAAAAACAGATGAACCAGGGAGGAGTGTGGGAAGAACAAGGTAAACAGTTACATGATTGTGTTTGGTATAAGAAGCAACAGTCACTTAGGCCTGGTCTACACTTAAAAGTTTTACTGATATAACTATTTTAGTTAGTGGTGTGGTGTTTCTTTTACCCAAACAGTTATGCTTGTAAAAGCCCTAGTGTGAACATACATCGCTACCTCGATATAACACGACCTGATATCATACGAATTCGGATATAACACGGTAAAGTAGTGCTCCGGGGGGGGGCTGGGCTGCGCACTCCAGTGGATCAAAGCAAGTTCAATATAACGTGGTAAGATTTTTTGGCTCCCAAGGACAGCGTTATATTGAGGTAGAGGTGTAGTGATATTTGTAAAAAGGTGATTTATACCAGGATAATTATTCCTCTTCCCATATGGTAATAGCCATATCATTGTAAAGCACCTTTATACCAACGTAAGTGTGTCCACACCTCGGTGTTGTACCAATTTAACAATACAGGTATAGGTAAAGCGATACAACTTTTTCATGAACATAAGCCAATGGGACCTGATCTAAAGACCACTGAAATCCAAGTCCATAAGACTCTCTCTATTGACTTCAGTGGGATTTGGACGAGGGGCAAGATTTTTAAAGGCATACAGTAACTCCTCACTTAAAGTCATCCCAGTTAACATTGTTTCGTTATTAGGTTGCTGATCTATTAGAGAACATACTTGTTTAAAGTCGTGCAATGTTCTGTTATAAGGTTGTTTGGCTCACCCCGCTCTGCCCGCCTGCCTGGCGTTCCAGCTGGGGAGTGGGGTCAGGGTTTACCCCATTCTGCCCACCTGGCATTCCAGCCGGGGAGCGGGTAAGCCCCCGACCCCGCTTCCCGGCAAGACCGCCAAGCGGGCAGAACGGGGTAAGCCCGCAGTCCCCGATCCCGCTCCCCAGCAGGAACACCAGGCGGTAGAAGCAGGGTAAGCCCCGGTGCCCCAACCCTGCTCCCCGGCAGGAACGCCAGGCGGGAGGAGCGGGGCAAGCCCCCGCACCCTGACCCCGCTATGCCCCTGCCTCAACCAAGCTTCACATTCATAATTGGTGAGCACACTACTACATTGTTTGTTTAAAATTATTAAAAACTTATACTGTATGTGTATATAATGTCTTTTGTCTGTCGAAAAAAATGTCCCTGGAACCTAACCTCCCCCCGCATTTACATTAATTCTTATGGGGAAATTGGATTTGCTTAACATCATTTCGCTTGAAGTAGCATTTTTCAGGAACATAACTACAACATTAAGCGAGGAATTGCTGTATAGGCAACTTAAGATGCAGATAGGCATGCAGTGGCATTTTCAAAAATACCTAGGCACCTTAGGTGCCTTGGAAAATCCTGCTAGGTGCCTATCTGCATCTGCACCTAAATACCTTTGAAGTTCTGGCCCAAGGCCCTAAATGACTCAACTTTCTTGTGTCTTTTGATGTCATAATTTATACCAGCTTTCTAGTTTTCACCATGGCCCCAAACTGGCAAACACTTACACATGTGAGTAATTTTATGTGTGTTCAGTAGTCTCATGAAACTACTCATGTCCATAAAGGTATGTAAGTATTTGCAGGATTGGGGCCATAGTCTTCCAGCCTAAACAGGATTTGAAATATATATGTATATAAAGCAGGGGAGGGGAAAAAATGTACAACCTCTCCTGCCCCACATTGCCTTTTAGGTCCTATTTACACACTATAAAGGAAAAAAGGGAACAAATCCATTTCTCCCCTTTGCCAGTCACTTTTAACCATCTAGAAACTAAATCAATATAATTATTCTACTAAATATTCAGATATTAAATATGAATAAAGTCAAAACTAGGAGTAATTTGTATTTTACTTAACTGTACTTGAATAATGAAAGTAGAAAATAAAATAGAATATTTTAAGGCATTTCACACACATGCCCTCCCATCCCTTTCTGATGTAATGACTTTTATCCCCCATCTAGTTTAATTGTGAGAAAGAGAAACAAACATTTCCATAAAAATTGCTTCAGTCTTGGTTCAGTAACCCAACACATAAACAAAGATGACATTTAAAAGACATCCACTAAAAGACCCAGCAATGAAAAGATCAGATTCTGGGCTTTCTAAGCAGAATATAAACACTGCAGGACCCCAGCTCTTAAATGAGATCAGACTCTCTCTAGATCCTTGAACACGTTGTGCTCTTTGGGCCCAAATTGTGCTATCATGGCCCAGGCAAAACTCCCAATACCCGAGAGACTTTTACCAGGATAAGTAGGGCACTGCAGGGGCTTGGCTCTAGAGGAGGCTTGTTTAACCCCTGTACTCTGCAGGCATGGAGAAGCGGGACTCGCGAGAAGCATGAATGGCATAAGGAGAGCGGTCCTGCCTCCCCGGCATCCAACGGGCTCTGCTGCGCTATGGAGAACAGCCAGGTGGGCCCTGCTGCAACACGTGTTTCCTCCTCCAGCTGGGGGCAAGCAGCCACGCCGGGCCCGGAGACCAGCCTCTGCTCTAGGACGAGACCAACTTCCCTGCCTCACTCTCCTCGGCAGGGGAGCAGGATCCTTCTCCTTTTCGTTGAGATGCCAGCGCAGTGTCCTTCCCTGCCCTCACCCCGCCAGCTTCTAAAACCTCAGCCCCTCGCCCCGCTGCACCCTCCACCCTTCCCCAGCCGCCCGGGCGGCAAGCGCCAGGGATCCCCGCATGCAGCCCTCAGGCCCCCGCCCCCACCTTGCTCCAGCCCCCTGCTCCCCTGGCAGCCTCCAACATTGCGTCCCAGCTCCCTCCTCCGTCCCAGCCCCCATTTCCGCTGCCCCTCGCCCGAGGGCTGCTGCCTCGGAGCCCTTCGGCTCTGCCCCTCCCCTCGAGCGAGCAGGGCGGGGGGCTCCCACCTGATGTAGGGGACGAGCGGCTCCACGTGCCCCCCTAGCACGGCGATCACATAGGAGATGATGAAGGCGGCCGAGGACCAGCAGACGAGCAGCGCGGGGACGAAGGCCACCCCCGGCATGAAGCACAGCATCCTGCCCCGGGGGATGCGCGGCCACAGCCCACCCCGGCCGGGCACGGGAGGCGCTGGGCAGCAGGAGCGAGCGGGCGGGCGGGGAGGAGGAGCGGGCTCTGTTACGGAGCCAGTGAAGTCACAAAGCGGATGGGACAAGGCTCAGCGGAGGAGCCACGACCGGCTGCCAGCTCCCCGCTCTCCAGAGACACCCCGAGAGAAGGTCTCCCAGCCCCGCCAGAACTGCGCGGTCTGTCCCTGCCACACACACACTGGGCTATTCCTCTTCTTCTTCCCCACACAGGGCTGGCCCCCTCCCCCGTCCCCTTACACACCCACACACAGCCTGTAGGGCTATTCCCTTCTCTCCCACGCACAGATCTTTTCTCCCTTCCTCCCCACACAGCTCTATCCCCTCCCCGCGGGCTATTTCTTTTCACAGGCACAGCACACACAGGGCTGCTTCCCTCACACACACCGCGTGTCTCTCCCCCACTGACCCCTCTCACGTGCAAGCAGGCACACAGGTCTATCCGTTCTCACAGCCAGGCTTAGCTAGCTAGTCCTTTAGCCCCTTGCACATTCTAAAAGTAAACCCATTCAAGGAAATTTCTCTCTCCACCCCCTGCTGACGTGGGTCTTCCTCTCTCTCTTTTATGATGTATTGGGTAATATTGTAAAGCAGCTAGTACTTTCGTCCCCCGCACCCAAGTTCACACAGAAACTTCTCCCATAGATTTGTTCACTGCCACTGTACAGCACGCGATTGCAAGATCCCCTTTCGCTTTCGTTTCTGCACTTCACTTGGATATTGCTGCTCCTCGCTTCCCCTTTTTGTTTCCTGCAGGAAGGAATTCAGGGTTAGCTGGCCTGAAAGCCCCAGCAACCCCTGACTCTCAGACTGACTGCAGCAAAGTTAATTTTAGCATTTTTGAGGCAGGCCTGCTAAATGCCCCATCTCTATCCACCGTTATCATCCCACTAAGCACAGAGCTGGTATAAGGAGATGAGGAGAGTAGCGAGATAATTCTTTGGGACACATCCAAATGGTAATGTTTATTTTACATAAAAGAAGAGGGGAAGAGAGAGAAACACCTTAGATCTCTTCCCTCCTAGCTGCCTTTCAGCTTCACGGTACAATCTTGTTATAGAATTAACTTGAGTGATCTAGTATCAGAGGGGTAGCCGTGTTAGTCTGAATCTGTAAGAAGCAACAGAGGGTCCTGTGGCACCTTTAAGACTAACCAGGGCTGGCTCCAGGCACCAGCTTCTCAAGCAGGTGCTTGGGGCGGCCGCTCTGGAGAGGAGCGGCACGTCCAGGTATTCGGCGGCAATTCGGCAGACGGTCCTTCACTCCGCCTGGGAGTGAAGGACATCCTGCCGAATTGCCGCCACAGATCGCGATCACGGCTTTTTTCTTTGTTTTTTGTTTTTTTGTTTTGGCTGCTTGGGGCGGCCAAAACCCTGGAGCTGGCCCTGAGACTAACAGAAGTATTGGAGCATAAGCTTTCGTGGGTGAATGCCCACTTCATCAGACGCAAGACATCTTGCGTCTGATGAAGTGGGCATTTACCCACGAAAGATTATGCTCTAATACTTCTGTTAGTCTTAAAGGTGCCACAGGACCCTCTGTTGCTTTTGAGTGATCTAGTTTCTAGTTATTTCCCTTCTATTAGCCTGTCATGATGGAGAGCAGCCACACCATCTAACAACAGGCCAGTTGCTGTAATGCTCACCATCCACACTGGTGCTCTACTAACTCATGTGGTGCTAAGGAACCCTGGCTGGGTTGAGTAAAAGTTCCCTCAGCTGAGCCTAAGGCTAGCTAGCTCAGGCTGGGAAATGAGCCAGCTGGGCTGCAGCAGAATCTCCTGATTGGCCAGCTGCCCAATTGGCTGCAGGGAGCCAACAGGTCTCCATTTAAGAGCTGCGACTCAATACTTATGCCCCACTGCTGTGATCAGCACTACTGTGTTCCTTGTTCCCAGTCTTGGCCCTACCTTTGTTCTTGTCCAGCTCTGGTCTGCTCCAGCCCTGTACTTTTCTCTAGTTCCTGACTCCACCTCTGAACTTTGGTGCTGACTCCAACTTCATGTTCCTGACTCTAACTGCTAGGTCAGATGGCCCATATCATGATCCCTGCCAGAGCTGGCCTTACCATGAGGCAAACTGAGGCGCCTGCCTCAGGTTCCAGACTGTGGGGGAGCGCCACTAGGACCCAGAGTGTAGAAAATTGTGTCTGCTGCTGGTACACATGTATTCTCTCTGCTCTAGATGCACAGAGATGGTGGAGTGCTGTGCTGGAGCAAGGAGGACACAAGAGACATAAAAGGCAGGCAGGAGAAAAGGTGAGGGAATAGCAGGAGCTGCAGGGAGAGAGAGGAGGAGGAGCCTCTTATGTACCTCGCTAGCACCCCCCAGGAGCCTGGACTGATTAACACCAGCTTCTCAGGGAGCTTCCTATTTCCTGCTGCTTCCCTGAACCCACTTGAGGAGAACAGGCAGTCAACTGAAGTAGTAGGAACCAGTTAGGCCCTTAAGACGCTGATATCTTCCCTCACTCAGGCCCTGCTACCAGCTGGCTTATTTGTCACCTTCAATTGAGTGTTGAGAGTC